TTTAATAGTAATAAATTAATATAATCATAATAATGTAATATTATTTATATTATTTTATTTATATATAATCTAAATATATAATAGTAATATAATATTTTTAAGTTAATAAATGATAAGTTATATAAATATAATAGCAATATAATGTTATTTTAATAATTTAATAGTAATAAATTAATATACTCTTATTAATGTAATATTATTTTATTAATATTATTATATTATACGTATAATAAAACATACTTTTCCAGAAAAAAATACAACAGCAGAGTCATCTCTGATCAATGCTGTAATTATCCCTATAGAGGGCGCAACGGGACTAAACAACTAGATTCGAGGCCCAGAACAACGCGCCCCTCCCACTGAAGTCATTCCATATTTAGCAGCTCAGTCTCAGTCTCAGCACCAGCACTCTACAGTCAATTACCCATCAGGCTATTGATGAACGCGTCCAGGTGTACAGCAGGTGCAGGATGTAAACATGTATTGCACATCCTCCAAATGACTTTAACATGAACTACTATTTAAATGAATTGATCAAATGTGTTAGTTTTTTTCATGAAACATATTAAACGCATTGCAGTTCACCTTTTAAATGTCTCGCATGGAAATACTGGTGGAAAAGCTCTAGATCGTGGTAATGACGTCGTTTGGGGCTCGCCTATGAAAACATGGTTACTTCCGGTGTGATCTGAAACGTTGCTCCGCGTCTTCGCGCACGCACAGATCAGGGGCAGCAGCGTCTCTGCGCTGTGTTCATCTGAAGGAAACGCGCTCAAAGACGACGCTTTTAGTGCTTATTTAGAATAAGAATGGCGGCTACATCGCTGGAAGCAGTCAAGCGGAAAATAAAACTGTTGCAAGATCAAGCGGACGGTGCTGAAGAGAGAGCGGAGAAACTGCAGAGGGAATTGGCGCTGGAGAGGAAAGCCAGAGAAGCAGTAAGAACGCCGAATGATACAAAGTATAAAGTGCATGTGTTGAAATGCGCCGCGTTCCGATGTGCGTGAGTTCATTTAAACAGCCGCGTATGGAACGGATACGATAGTGCGCGCGGTGATGTGCGGTATGAACGTAGCGGAATTTCTCAGACGCCCTCTACGCGCTGTTTTCCAGCCCGTTAAACGGCGACATTTGTATCACACCCGTTTTTTAAATAACTTCTCTTTTCTTATTTGCAACAAACAGGAGACGCGAATGAAATGTTTGCCAGTGTGATTATAACCTGACGCATGTAAATGGAGTTTAAGGGTGCTGGATAATGATATCCGATTCGTATCCGAACGAGTCGTTATTTTGAGTCGAATCTTGAAAGTGAATCAGTTGAATCGGTTCACCTATTCGGTTTGATTGATTAGTTCACGAGTTTGACTGAAACGCTGTGAACGGTTACAACAATTAATTGACTGTCTTAAACTTGTCCGACTCCTAATTAAGCGAATTGATAGACGGGAATCGTTTCGTTCGAACATGATCGATTCCCAAAGAGCCAACAACCAACTGATAATGTGAACTGAAATATCAATCATACAAAATCGGTCTTGATAAATGACATTTGTTTGTTTTTTTTCAAATTGCAAAAACTTTCAGCTGGGAGATTAAAAATACAGTTTGGACTAAATTTGATTAGGCTACTTAAAATGCAAATTCATGCTATAGTTTGAACTGAATCATTAAACAAATTTTGTGAACTAAATCATGACTGCATACTGAATTAAGAAGACGCATGAAATTATATTTAAAAATGGAATCTGGATATTAGGGACTATGTGATGACAATTACGTCTGAATGTCAATTAGTGAGTCGTTTTTGAACCGGTTCTTTGAATTGAACCGTTCGGAAGAATCGATTCGCTTAAATAATGAGTCGGACGTTTTGAAGCAGGACGTTTAAACAACAGACCATGTTGTTTTCACCCCAAACTTTGAGATTGCTGATGACATCTCTGTGCAAGACTCAGCCCTGTTTTTTTCAGGCTGTTCTCTTGTTGACAGTCGTAATTGGAGAGTCTGGTTATAATCCAGTTAGTTAAGTAAGTTGTGCTGCTGTGAATAGGTCCTTGTCTGATGACAATTTACGCTGGACCAGAGGTTCTGAGTGTAATCATTTTAGGCTAATAGCCTACAGCAGTTCAGTAGTGATCCTGGACAGAACTGTTTATGCAGGCTGTGCTGTAGTGGTTTTATTATAATGAATAGGTGGTGCTGCTGCTTCTGGCTGTATGTTGACATCTCATGAAGCGGCATTTTAGCACTTTCCCTTATATGGCCAGTCTGCATCATCACATACAATAGGACTCTCCATAGTCATGCTGAAATAAACAGTGATGGCTCTAGTTTGCTATAGAAGCATGGCATTAATAATTAGTCTCAGTCTTTTCTAAACAAGCATGCTTGAGACTCTGGGCCCTTTAAAGAAATGAGTTCAATGCTGGCTGTCAAGGTTATCTGTGTTGCTTTCTAGTTTTTCATATCTCAGCTGACAATATAACATGCACTTTGCCCCAGGTCGTTCCCTTTAGTGGAAGGCCTTTGCTTATCGCTGGACTGGGACTTAAGCAGAGGTTATTTGTTATGCATGCTATAAAAACATAAATATGCACTTATATTTTGATGGTGTAACAATATTATATATTTAAAATACTTAGGAATATATAAGTCAATTAATTTAGCATATGTTAAAAGCCAGTCTTATAGGCCAGATTTTACATTGGATGTAAAGTGGTGACTTAATATATTGTCTAAAATGTCAAAAGTTGAACAAAATTAATGTGGCAGATGAGTTTGATTAGGGCTGGCTTTCACTACAGATGTTCAGATTAAATTTAATATAGTTCAGATTCTGTTTGATTCTGATTCATTTAGGTATATTTCAGTTACTGTATTTTTAATCATTTGAACGATTTACATTCCTTACCGACTTATAATGTAACTAACGGCAAGCACGCAAAAAATTCACAAGTGCGCATCTGAATTTGTGGCGAATGAGTTATGTGAGCCCTAGGTTTATTTGTATAGTGTATTTCCTACACTCTACACATTAGTTTTGGCTTGGCGTTTACAGTAAATGTTTTTTTTTTTATTGAATTTCACAAAAAAAGTGTTTATACTTTTTCATTCCTCTTCTAAATATCATTAAATATAAAGGATTTATTGTAGAGTGAAGAACTAAAATAGTTTGTAATGATTGTAAACGTTTCGTTTTATTGATTGGTATTTTGCATTATTTCTGAATGTAATAATAGTTCAGATTCTGTTTGATTCTGATTCATTTAGGTATAAAAAATTCACAAGTGCGCATCTGAATTTGTGGCGAACGAGTTATGTGAGCCCTAGGTTTATTTGTATAGTGTATTTCCTACACTCTACACATTAGTTTTGGCTTGGCGTTTACAGTAAATGTTTTTTTTTTTATTGAATTTCACAAAAAAAGTGTTTATACTTTTTCATTCCTCTTCTAAATATCATTAAATATAAAGGATTTATTGTAGAGTGAAGAACTAAAATAGTTTGTAATGATTGTAAACGTTTCGTTTTATTGATTGGTATTTTGCATTATTTCTGAATGTAATAATAAAATGTGACGCACCAATTTGAGTTTTCGCATCAATGCCATTTTTATTTTCTGAAAAACATGGTATATTGTTCATATTATGTGTATTAAAATAATTATCACTCATTTAATGCTGTAAATTATACTTTTTGAAAAAGTAACTGATATATTTTTGTAAATTTAAAGTAACGCGTTACTTTACTAGTTACTTGAAAAAAGTAATCTGATTACGTAACTCGCATTACTTGTAATGCATTATCCCCCAACACTGCTTTTCAGTGCATGAATTATGTAGACAGTCGGTTGCATTGTATTAATTGCATTTAGCATTGTGAGAACAGAACTGTGACTCAATTCTGGTTCACAGTCCACCAGGAACCCACAGTTACTGCTGTATGACTGCTACAACAAAATTTCTACATCAAAGCCCAAGCTTCATAAAGCAGCACTGAGTTTCCCTGCAGTCAGCGAAAGCATGTTTGAAATGATCCAGCTTGTGTGTTTGTCAGGTAGCAGGAGCAGCCTGTAGTTCTCCACTGGTCATGTGTGTTTGCCCTTTGACAGTGTAATCCGTGTAGGTCCGCTGGGACTCCCTCCCAACGCCTGTTAATGTTGTCCCAGAGGCTCGGTAATGATCCGATGGCCTAGTCCTGTCTCATCCATTAGCGTTGCTGTCATTATGTGCTATATAATGTGTGCGACCACAGCAGAAGAAATCGCTCGGTCTCAGTAGATCTTAATGGAAGCTAGTTAGTACTGCCGTTTATAACCAAATTACACCGTCGCCAAAACCTGGTTACAAATACAAGCCTGACGAGTTCTTTGCTCTGAATGGGAGCCGTCAGCATTTGTGGGGTGTAGGTGTCACTGTCTGTGTGAATTGTGTGTGAACATCTGATCTTGAGCTTTTATGCCAGTTCCTCTGTGCTCTTCAAGGCTGAGGGTGATGTAGCTTCCCTGAACAGACGTATCCAGCTGGTTGAGGAGGAGTTGGATCGCGCACAGGAGCGTTTGGCCACTGCCCTGCAGAAGCTGGAGGAGGCCGAGAAGGCTGCCGATGAGAGCGAGAGGTTAGTACAGTACACGGACATTCACTTTACAATTACAAAGAATGGTGTAGTACAGTCTAAACCATTGTGGAGTGAAATGAAATGCGGTAGAATGTCTACTGACAACCTGCTTTACAATTGTGTGGCTATCAGCAAGGTTATTGCTGTGCAGGACTACTAGTGGAATTTTGTGAGTGAATTATTTATGTTCACTTTTGGCATTTTCACTTTCGTTTTGACGACGTTTTCATTGCCTTCAAAGACTGACTATAGAAGTGTTTCTCAAACCTGATCCCGGGCGCCCCCCAACACTGCTCATTTTGTATGTCTCCCTTATCTGACACCCATTTCAGGTCCTGGAGTTTCTTCTAATGAGCTAATGAATTGAATCAGGTGTGTTTGATTAGGGAGACGCACAAAATGTGCAGTGTTAGGGGGCGCCCAGGACCAGGGTTGAGAAACACTGGACTATAGCATAACATTTTAAGTGTGAGCTGAGGGCTATTTAATTGGTTGGACGTACTGAACAAATACGCTCTTTACTGAATGAATCGGCTGCACTCAACATCTTGTGCGCAAACTGAATTAACGCAGAATCTCATTTGCGAACGAACCAAATGAACATGGTTTCTCAACAGAACTCGTATGTAGTGAAATAATCGTAACTTAAAACATCTTGCTTGTGAGCGAACTGAATAAACACAGTATTTTGTTTGTGAACAAACCGAATTAATGCAGTATCTCGTTTGTGAATGAACCAAATTAAAATAATGCAGAATCTTCTTTATGAACGAACTGACTAAACTAACAACTAAACTGAACGAACTGACTTGCTTGTGAATATTCCAAATCGAATGAACTTGCAAACTTGTTTGTGAGCGAACCGAATAAAGGCAGAGTCTCGCTTATGAACAAAATTGACTTAATGCTGTATTTATGAACAAACCAAATCTTGAAAATCTTGTTAGTGAATGAACCAAATGGTATCTCTCTTGTGCGAACTGATTAAACGCAGTATCTTGCTTGTAAATTAAATGAATGAACAGTATTTTGTTTGAAGAAACCAAATGAACGCAATGCAATATTTCACTTGTGAGCAAACCAAAATGAATCGAATAGACACTGCATCTCACTTATGAGCGAACTGAATAAACGTGAATATCTTGTTTGTAAACAAACTGAACTAAATGAACGTAATAATTCGCTCTCAAATGAATTGTTTGAGTGAATTATTCACAGACTCATTCATTGAATAAATCATTGAATAAACCTTTTTGGAATGATTTGAGTCACTGGCATGAATCAAAATCACAACTAAACATTACTGATTTATTTATGTGAGACTAAAATTATTTATAATTTTAGTTGTAATGTTTCTTTTTTTTTTTCGTTTTTGATTTAAAGATTTATTTTTGGCATTTTTGCCTTTTATTAGGATATGACGGTATTGTACAGGTGCATCTCAATAAATTAGAATGTCGTGGAAAAGTTCATTTATTTCAGTAATTCAACTCAAATTGTGAAACTCGTGTAAATTCATTGCACGTGAAGAGAGGGAGCGGGGGGTGAGAAAGCTCTGTGAGCCTGGACTCAAACTCGGGACGCTGAAGCGCAACTGTGCTGTCTTGAGGCTATTGGCACCGACAGTTCAATTAATCTTATCTTGTGCAGCCAAGTTACAAACAAATAGAAAAAATCAAATGAAGGACTTTTCAGTACTTATTTAATTCTCTGGAATGTCCAAATATATTCATTATCTCATGCTTTTTTTTTTTTTTTTTTTTTTTTTTTTAAATCGATCAATAAAATAAATGAACGAACAAACATTTTATTACTGCATTTCCTGTATGAGTTTGTCCATGCTGCCAAGTGCTAGTATATGCAGTACATGTGTACAGTGCTATAGCATACTGTGGTATTGTGAGTGTGGCATTCTGTAGGACCGTCAGCCTGATTCACTGAAGCAGAACGAGTCAGTTGAGCAGGTCCACACCCCGTTCCTCCCCCTCTCGCAGTAACTGTGGTTACTGTGTGCAGCTCCGCCGATGTGTTGCTATTGAAATGACAACATGCTGCCACTTCCTAGCCTGCACTGCACATCTGGTGCCCTGCATAAAGACTGTTTGTGTGCGCTGAGGGAAGTCCATGTAATTTGCTAATCACCAGCATCGCGACCCTACATGAGTAGTTCGTAATCATAATTGTGTTTAAGCAAGCATCGCTATCATCATCATTTATTATTATTATTATTGCTTTTCAATTAGGTTTTTTTTTTTTTACAAAATTGTGTTTTTATTTGAACAAAAGTTATTTTTAACAATAATGCTATAAAAAAATTAAAGCATTATTTTAATACATAGACATAGTATAAAACATTCAAAATGTATAGTGTTTTCATTTCATTTTGTTTTTCACTTTTCATCTACAAGACTTTTTTTTTTTTTTTTGCTATAGAGAGATTTTGTTCTCTCTTTCACTCCATTTCTTGCTTCCTCCTTCCAGAGGCATGAAGGTCATTGAGAACAGAGCTCTGAAGGATGAGGAGAAGATGGAGATCCAGGAGATCCAGCTCAAGGAGGCCAAACACATTGCTGAGGAGGCCGACCGCAAATACGAGGAGGCAGGTTTCCTCAGCCACCAAACCACACATGCGCATCACTTCCTGCCTAGTCACATGACCTTTCATACTTAAAGTGTAAGCAAGCAGGTGCTTGCAGTTCAGCATAAGCATAAAAAAAGATTTGCTGTATTTTGTAATCTGATCAAATATAGCTTTGTGGTTTTTGATTTGTTTGTCTTGTTTTGTTTTTTGTTTTGTATTATTTTTCTTTGTGTTTTGTCTCGTTTTTTGTTTGATTTTTAGTTTTGGATTTTTGTTGTTATTGCCTTTTGTTTGTTCATGTTTCATGTTTTTGTTTCTTTGTGATTTTGTTTTGAACTTTTTTTTTTAGCAGAAAAATCAAGGGCATGCAGTCGGTTGTAGTTGTGTGATGCTGTTTTTGGCCTAAACAACTGACGTGAGCTGTTTGCGTAGAGCCAGTGGGTCCCTGAATAAACGGCAATTTGTAGAGGCACTAGGCTGCGTTTCCCTTCCTTTGTTTGCACACACAGAGTCCCTCTGTCTCCAGCCCAGCACGCCTACATAGAACCACTCTGTACCGAGACCTGGTCTAGCTCTTAGGTGCTTTTTCCCTCCCATTCATCTGTTCTGACAGTGACTGTTGTGATAATACAAGAAAACATGGGTTTAGAAGCTAAAACTGTGTCTTTGATCCCAGAGCTTAGCTGCAGACAAGTTGGCGGCTTTGAATGTAATTTGTAGCGAGTTATTGATCCAAATGGAGTCATAGTGATGCTATAGAGAGATTTCATTCTCTTTTTCAATCAATTTCTTGCTTTTTCTTTCCAGAGGCATGAAGGTCATTGAGAACAGAGCTCTGAAGGATGAGGAGAAGATGGAGATCCAGGAGATCCAGCTCAAGGAGGCCAAACACATTGCTGAGGAGGCCGACCGCAAATACGAGGAGGCAGGTTTCCTCAGCCACCAAACCACACATGCGCATCACTTCCTGCCTAGTCACATGACCTTTCATACTTAAAGTGTAAGCAAGCAGGTGCTTGCAGTTCAGCATAAGCATAAAAAAAGATTTGCTGTATTTTGTAATCTGATCAAATATAGCTTTGTGGTTTTTGATTTGTTTGTCTTGTTTTGTTTTTTGTTTTGTATTATTTTTCTTTGTGTTTTGTCTCGTTTTTTGTTTGATTTTTAGTTTTGGATTTTTGTTGTTATTGCCTTTTGTTTGTTCATGTTTCATGTTTTTGTTTCTTTGTGATTTTGTTTTGAACTTTTTTTTTCTTGTTTTGTGTTTGTTTTCTGGTGGTTCATTGCTTTGCTTTTGTTTTTGTCTTGTTTGTTTTGTTTATTTTTTGTCTTGTTTTTGTTTTTTTCTTTGTGTTTGTTTTTGTTTTGATATTGTTTTTGATTGCGTGTTTTGTCTTTTTTCCCTTTTTGTCTTTTCTTTTTATGTTTTCATTTGGTCTCGTTTAATGTGTAGAAAGTGTTTCCCCCCTTTTAAATTGGCTATAAGTACAAGTATGTGACTGTCCCGTGATCTGGCCTGTGTGTGTGCAGGTGGCCCGTAAGCTGGTGATCGTTGAGGCTGAGCTGGAGCGCACAGAGGAGCGCGCTGAGCTGAATGAGAGGTACGAGACTTTCCTGCAGCTTCTGCATGTCTGCATAAACCTACACACACATTCATGCATGTGCCTGACTCTCTTCACACACTCACACACCCTTACAGATTCTGTGTCAGGAGGCATACACACAGAATACATGAGACGCTAACTAGCCTTTTACTTTCTGAGGCCAATGAATGCAAAATGTATTAATAAATAGAGCTTCTCTGTAACTGATTGTTGCTTTTTTTTAACATTGGTTTCTGTCATACAGTCCTTTTGTAACCAGTATAAGAGCCTCTTCTGACATATAAATGTTACTTTAGTCAGCACTCCGTGTGCTCTGCTTGTCCCGCCTCCAGCTTTTCCTAATTGGTCCATTGTTTTAAAACTGACGTATCATACCGTAACACTATTTAACTTGAAATGAATTGTCTCTCATACCTGTCATCCTCAGGTATTGATCTATGCCTGTATACAAATATGCCCACTTCCGTGCCATCTAGTATGCGTGAAAAAACAGTAGGTCAATAAGTTGTATGTCTGCGTACAAATTATTCATTAAACGATAGAAGAAAATACCTGGATGACCTTCTACTTCCGATTCTGACTCTTAAGTTTGCACTTGATGCACATATCAACAGTAGCTTAGATGTAACACAACAATGCGTCACGTGTGTACATCCCCTAAGAATATTACTACCATATTGCTAATACCTGCTTCACATTCCTGTTTGTTGTTTTGGTTGTCTTATGTTTTTTTATTTTTGCATGCACTGTTAACTTGCATGTGGCCCGTGTTTGGAATGGCCTTCCCTCTGCACACACTAACAGACGCCTTCGAAGATTAGAGGATGAGCTTCGAGTGTTGGACCAAACCTATAAGTCATTAAAGGCATCAGAAGAACAGGTACTGCACGCCAGTCATTAGGTCTCATCTAAACTTGTGTACTCTGTAAGAGGCAAAACCACAGTTTCCCTTGCTTGCTACCCGTGCAGCTTTATTTGGTCCATCTTTTTGTTTGTTTGTTTCACGCCCTTCTAACTTGGCAGGAATGCTGCAACTTGATTTCTTCTCATACGGTGTAACTCCTAACAACTTGCATGCAGCAGTTATGTAGACTTCGATTCATCATCATGGCACATTCCTGCTGTGTTAAGGGGACTTTGGGCTCCCCTTGTCCTCCATCCCTGTTTTGATTGATTTTGGGTTTTTGTTTCTTTTGTTCCTCTTTTCTCTCTTCCGGTTCCCTGATGTCCCTCTGTTCCAACCTGCCTCTGGTTCTCCTCTTCTCAATGTACCTTTCCTCCTCTTGTTCCTCCTCCTCTCCTCTGTGTGTAAAACACCAGCAAATGCGCTGAGCTTGAGGAAGAGTTGAAAACTGTGACCAACAACCTGAAGTCCCTGGAAGCCCAGGCTGAGAAGGTAGGTGTGCTCTGCTGCTGCTGTCCCAGGCACACAGTCCACCCCTCCTCCTCAACAAACCCGGATAACAAGTGTTTCTATGTTCAACAAACCAACTTTGTCTGTATATGTCAATGAGGGGTTGAAGTGTGCGTTTACTTGCTTTTTGACAAATTTTCAGATTTTCTGATTTGTGCTGGTCTAACTGGTCCATAAGAATCAGCATAGGGGCTTTTTTTTTTTTTTTTTAACTTGATGGTCATTCTGGGGAAGCTTTCTGGATGACCATTATAATCTTGTTAAAGTGAAATCTGGTTAAGAGTCAGTCTGTGAACACTCAAGAGCTTTGTTTCTGCATCCGTAGTTATATGCATGTATGAATATCTGTATCTGCAGTAGACTTTAGCAGATGATTTTGATCAACATTAGCTTACATGACATTAAAAAGTTACCATATTTTAAAAACCTGTAATACTGAGTTAATGCTAGTACTGTCAGATCAGTTAATCGAGATTAATCGCATCCAAAATAAAAGTTTGTTTACATAATGTTTGCATTCTGTGTAGATTTTATTTATAAATACACGCATGTGTATATATTTAAGAAATATATGTAATGCATATTTATATTCATATATAAAATAAATAAAATACTTAATAAAAATATTTCTTAAAGGGGTCATATGATGTTGCTAAAAAGAACATTATTTTGTGTATTTGGTGTAATGCAATGTTTATGCGGTTTAAGGTTCAAAAAACACATTATTTTCCACATACTGTACATTATTGTTTCTCCTCTATGCCCCGCCTTTCTGAAATGCGTCGATTTTTACAAAGCTCATCGGTCTGAAAAGCGAGGTGTGCTCTGATTGGCCAGCTATCCAGTGCGTTGTGATTGGCCGAATACCTCAAGCGTGTGACAGAAATGTTACGCTCCTTACCATACTGTGATGCCGTGTGCCGGAGCGACGAGACCACCAATAAAACCCATTATAAACGAGGCGTTTGTTGCATCCAGTGGGGGCATAATTACTGAGTATAATGACTTATACTGTCTTTTTATGCGTTGCGTATCGCGCCGCATAAACATAAAACCATGTCTTCATTTGTAATCGGAGAAACGACAAACGACAAGCGCTACTCTACACTGCTCAAAACTCGCGTTTGAATCATCAGTGGCAAATCCTTGAAATATGCAAACG